ACAAAGCTCCACACGCGGTCGCCCATACCTTCACTGAAGAGGAAGACGTCGGATACGCTTCCTGTGTGGGTAACAGCGTGCCACACGCGGTCGCCCAGACCTTAACTGCAGAGGAAGGCGTCGAACACGTTTCTTGTCTGGGTACCACAGTACCACACGAGGCCACGAGTGCCTCGGATGTCGTAGCGCCGACATCCCTGGACGTTAGCAGCAAAGCTCCACGTCACGGTCGCCGTCGTCAACGACGCCGCCGCCGCCGCCTCAAGTCGGATCCGAACTTCATTCAGATCGACGTCGCTTCAAGCGACTCGGAGTCCAGGGCCCGGGCTCCTCTGACAAGGCCGGTGGAAGAGTGCTATCACATCTTCGATGACGAGACCGGCTTGCCCGTCAAGGCATCTGGTGTCCACTTGGAACCGTTGTTAGAGGTTGCAGAGATACTGAACCTCGAGGAAATGACGGCTAAGTCTTTCCTGACCAACCTCAAGGCTAAAGAGATTGCTGAGATGGTACTCATGAGACCTGATACCACTCGGGAGGAGCTGAACTCCTCACCTGTCTTGGACGAAAACGTTCTGGAGGGCGTAAACAGGCAGCGTCAGACACGCTTGGGCTCTGAGATACTTAAGAACCCCAATGATCCGGTGTATCCTTTGGTAACGGAGTATGCGGGCGTAGTGAACAAACATCCACCGACCCAACTCCCACTGGATCGAGGCGTACGGCATGAGATTGATCTCGTGCCCGGCACAAAGTATTGTGTCACGAGGCAATGGTCTCTCCCGCGCGAACAGTGCGAGGTCATTGATGTCTTCTTCGCCGCGAAAGCAAAGGCAGGCATGGTGCGGAAGTCGAAATCCCCGCACTCGACGCCGACTTTCTGCGTTCAAAAGTCGAGCGGAAAGTGGCGTTTGGTTCACGCTTATAACAAGCTGAACAACGCAACGGTGCCGGCCCAATCACCTATCCCACGAAATGATGTGTTGTTAAACAACATGGCCGGGAGCGTACTGTACAGTGCGCTGGATTTGGTAGACGGATACTACCAAATCCTGATGCGAGAGAGCGACATCCCGCTCACCGCGGTAAGCACTTCAAGCGGTATGCTTTGGTGGTGGATCGTCCTGCCGCAAGGCTTGTCTAACGCCCCGGCGACGTTCAATCGTCTGGTGACGTAATTGTTCCGCCCTTTGCGTACCCTCGTACAGACGTACTTCGACGACATATTCGTCCATAGCCTTGCCGAGCGAGGCAAGACGGCCATGGAGGTGCATCTAGGACACCTCCGTCGAGTGTTGGACGTAATGCGAGCGAACAAGCTCTACGCCAACATCGACAAGTGCGTTTTCGCGTCACCAGAGATTAAAGTTCTCGGTTGCTTCGTTAGCAACGTGGGCGTTCGGGCTGACTCAGACAAGGTCAAGGCCAAAGGAGCATGGTCGACGCCCCGGTCCCAAAAGGATCTTCAAAAGTGGTTGGGCTTGACCAACTACCTTCACAAGGACAGCGCAGGGTACGCAGGCTTCGCTAAGCTTTTGTCGGGCCTCCTTCAGAAGGACGTCAACTGGCGCTGGAAGCAAGAGCACCAGGATGCTTTTGACAGCTTCAAGGCCAGTCTCTAAGAGGCCTCTGTCCTGGCCCTGCCGGACGAGACTAAGCCGTTTAGCGTCGTCTGTGATGCCTCCGATTACGCCATCGGGTGTGCATTGCTACAGGCCGACACGGCTGGACACGAACGATTCATCGCGTTCCAGTCCAGGCAGCTCAAAGCCGCCGAGCGGAACTACCCTGTCCACGACAAGGAGCTCCTGGCAATGAAATATGCCCTTGTGAAGTTTCGTGTTCACCTTCTGGGCTCTAGGCCCCTTTGTGATCTACACAGACCACGCGTCCTTGAGGACGGCGACTAACTCGCCTCACCTCTCCCAACGGATGGCGATGTGGCTGTCCTTCTTGGCGGAATACAGCTTCCGCGTCGAATACAAGCCGAGCAAGATCAACGTGCATGCGGACGCTTTCTCTCGGCGTCCTGACTTTGAGTTGGCCCGCATCATGCGGGTGACAACGGATCTATATGATCGGATACGCATGGCGTATCGGGACGATGAGGCTGTCGCGCCTATCGTCAAGTTCCTTATGGCAGGAACGAGCGCGAAGTCCGACTGGCTTTCGTCGCGACAGCGCTCACGGCTCCACCGATATGAGTTGAAGGATGGACTTCTCTATTCCCGGGTGGAGCCTACGGATCCTCCACAGATGGTCGTGCCCAACGACGAGGATCTGAAGCTCGATATCCTCGCGGAGGCGCATGACGCGCCCTCCCGCGGCCACTTGGGCCGTCAGAAGACCTTTCTGTCGGTCTCTCAGTCCTACTGGTGGACCCACATGTACAAGTGGGTCGCCCGGTACGCTAAGACATGCGAAACATGTCAGCGGGTCAAATTCGCAGGGCACTCTTCGGCTCCACTACGGAGCCTGCCCGTACCGGCTGACTGTTGGAAGTCGATGAGTCTTGACTTCATCTTTGGGCTCTCGCCGACAGACACGGCAACACCGGAATTTTGGTGTTCGTGTGCCGGCTGAGCATGATGGTACATCTTGCTTCGGTTCCCGTCACTGTTACGGGCGAACAAACCGCAAGGTTGTTCGTTGATGGCGTGTTCCGCTATCACGGTCTCCCGGAGACGATTGTCACGGACCGAGACCCGCGATCACGGCTGCGTTTTGGTACATCTCTGCTCCGCAACGGCTCCTGATTGACTGCTCGAAGGCTGTCGCAATCTGAGAACCGAAACGGCGACAGCTTCATAAGTAGTCCGGGGCTTCTTGCCCGAACGGGGTACGGACGATGAATACATTCCGTACCCGCGCTCATCGTGAGCGCTAGAAGCCGCGTGCTTCAGGATGCCCCTTGGCCGCATGCGCTTGCTGACCAAGTGGGCAAACGGAGCACGAAGATCACGCTGGTCCAGGATGCGGGACAGCAGCTGATCTTCATGGAGTTCCCGTAACTCCGTGGGCGAGTACTTAAGAGAACCCACCCATGCCCAGAACATGTCCTCACAAGAACTCCACGTGGGACAGTTCTCGGACATAACCCATGGGTATCCCCAAAGAGGATAGAGACCACCCCGGGTCTCGGGCTTCTTACGACAAGTCGTGAAGTTCTTAAGAGGGATGCGATGTGGCGCGAGAAGCACACACCGAGCATCCTCCAAGTTGTCAGCCAACAACTGTTCTTTCTGAACAAGGCCACGAGAGGCGACGAGAAGCTCTAAGAAGAGGTCAGCCCCAGCGCTCTCCTCGGGAGGCCAATACTCTCTTGAGTTGATGGCAGCTCCCTGGCTGGCGGGCCACCACCGAACCCCCACGCACACGCTGGGCAGCTTGGAATTCCTCCTGCTGCTCGTCGAGGTCATTCGAGACCTCCCGGGGCTCAGAGATAGCATCCTCCTCCTCCTCTTCTTCCTCCTCTTCTTCCTCCTTCTCCTCCTCTTCATCCGAAGAGTCGAAGATACTGTGATAGGAGTGTTGAGTCTCCTCCTCCTCGCGGACTGGAGACTTAGAGGCTGTACGCTTCTTTGAGGGCTTGGCGCCTTCGGCTTTAAAGGCCTTAGCACGCGCAAGACCCTCGGCAAGCGAGAGACGTTTGCGAGGATTCTATTCCTTATCGCCACCGGCTTTGGGGGAGCCCTTAGCCTTGACAGCCGGACTCTCAGAGCGCACAGACGCTCTGGGACTGTGATCACCTTGATCACTAGCGAGCGACTGCACGCTGTGTCATCCTTGTGTTCACTGGGCACTGGGCTGTGCTCTCCCACAGAGTCCGCAGGAGCATCGTGCGTGCTCTCGCACTCGGCTTCGTCCTCACTGCCAGAGTTAATCTCACGTTCCACGAAGCGAGGGTTTGAACGATTGTCTAAGGCCGAGGGCGACGGACTGCGGCGCTTGCTTGCTCGCTTGCCCACAGCCGCGTCACCCGAGGAACCGATCGCCTCGGAGGCCACCTGAGTAGCCTCCTTGAGTGCCGAGCCTTTGCCGTGAGGCATAGTGCTCTTAGCTTTGCCCTTCCGGCCGCAGCCTTGGAGCGTGTCTTTAGCACCGCTCTTTGCTGTGCCACGAGGCATGGTAACGGCCAAATTGGAGATGAAGGGCTAGATTTATGCTTGATACTACTAATTGGTAAGTTTACTTGGTGTGAACGGCAAATGTGAAGCTGCTACCGACTTACTTGGAGTTGTATGAGATCTTTGCCTGAAGTAACTTCCGCGTCTTAAAGCAACAAAGCATGCAACTTTCGATTGCATGACAAATCATAGCACACATTCTAGCATCCAAATATGTAAATCTCTAAACATTTTGAAGTAGTTGTTTTCGGAAAAAACGTTGTGTGCAAAAAAACAAGAAAGTGAAACAAGACCAAAAATGCTAGGTTTTATAACAAGACTAAAAGTACTATGACAAGATCAAAAGTACGAAACAAGACCAAACATACAGTGGCGAGACTGATATTACTTGCACAACAGATAAGCGTGCTTAGACTTTACGACCCGGTTTTTTTGTCAAGGCGAATGTATCTGGCTAGCGTATCAATTGTGTGAACGCTCACGCTCGAATATGATGTGTTGTTAAACCAGTGCTTTGTGGTGCAGGCTGCAGCGAGGCTGCCGTAGCTTTAGCGTCAGAGGAAGACGCTCGACTTACTGAATCACTAATACTAAGCCTCTTATTCCCACAACCAGAGCTCAAAGTTAATACCTTAGCTTTTAGGCTTTAAAACCAGAAGTGATTTGTTTACTATTATTGCAGCCAAGCCGCCTCGGGGTAATGTATCTGTCTAACTATCTAACATAGTTAAATCTAATCAAATGCATAACGTGTGGCTTTCAGCCAACGTACTGAGAGACCTTGTTAACTCTCCAACTCATGTACTGAGCGTTTATTAGCTATCCGGGTACTTCTTTCCCCTGTGTGATCCACACCATGTAACACCGTTACACATGCTGCGTACGTAATAAACATTTACTTGTCTGGACCTTCTTCGGTTCGGTGCTCATAGCTGCCGTAGTAGTCGTTATTTCGGCCCGAATCTTCTCAACGGTTTGATTGGACACAGAGGCGGATGCAGATACACTCTCCATAAACGAGACAAAAGGCGAAGGAAACCCAAGATGCCGACCCGTTGTGGGATCTGAGTACTCATTTGAAATACAGAAATCACAGAATTTCTTGAGGTACGACGCGTAGCCATCCCTTGCCTCCTTCCTAATCATATGTGTGGCAGTAGCAATGCGCCTTGTATCAAGTCCTGGAGCGATGTCGCTTTCGCCGTCATTAGATTTAGGTTTCTGATACTCACCCAGCCAAATGGATTGTGAGTCGGAGTGTTCCTCATCCACCTAAAGGATTGTGGGGCCTAGAGCCGTTCGTTTAATTAAGTATGTTTAGCCTCGTCAAAGTACGTTTAGTCTTGTCGAAGAACGTTAAGTCTTGTCATTGTACTTACAGTCTTGTTGAAGTGTGTTTAGTCTTGTCATATTACTTACAGTCCTACCATAGTAAACTAGATGTCTTTCAGTCTAGAGTTGAAGTCAACCTAAATTGGGTCGGTCAAGCCTGACTGGTTTTTTTACTCCTTCTTACTATCAAAATCTAGACCAAACGTATCCCTAAAGAGGCGCTCGCTTGTCATCTGCTCTTCCTGCGCTTTCAACTTGGCCTCGTAAGCTTAGCTCTTCTCAATAAATCCAGCCTTGTAAACTGCCTTGAGCTCCACCAGTGTTGAGCAGTCGTTTGCTTCACCAAAGCTATTTATTTGCGCTCGGATCGGTTCTTGTAGCACGGTATTCTGGTCGCGTACCTTATGGCACACCTCCTTCCATGTGCTTACCTTTGCACAATATCTTGCCGTGTGGTAGTCCCAATATTTGAAGACATATCCGCTCTCCAAAAATCGTGTTCTCATCTGCCGTAATCATTTCCTCCTTGTATGCACTCATTGCCTTGCATGTCTCCTGGATATGTGCCGCGCCGACCCTGCACGCAGCTCTAACGGTACCAAATGGCGCTTGTCAGGGTACAATATCAGATAGGCGGTATCGAACCACAGCTTTGACAATAAGTCTACGTTCTCTTTTTATTGCACGGTACGTCCGTCAATAAAGAGTATAATAACTGCTGCTCAATACACATACCTTCGAAGAAATGAAGTCGAATAAGACCGTGTTACGACTTAGCACCTCTAGTGGGTGCTTCCATAGTTCTTTCGGCTCGGGTTTTAAGGGAAGAGGTTCTTCCTTCAGCTCACATAGCTTCTGTCGGAGCACTGGCTTCGATTAATACATTTTTAAATAATAACCAACATTCACACATCATTAATATATGGTACCTTCAAGTATCTTGAACAAATAGCTAGCGCGGCGGCTGCGCTGCTCTCCGACACGCTTGTCGCGGTGCTTATTCCACGACCTCGTCCGGATATCACTCCCAAGAGCCGTGCACTTTAATGCCCTTGCAGCTCTTCTTGTGCTTGAAGAAGCTCGTGCGAGATATTGCCTTCTCGCGCCGCTCGCACTGCTTGGTCGCGAGGCCGTAACACGCCTTCGATATGTTTGGAATTGTAATTGTAATTTAAGCTAAGCTTATGTTCATTAGATATTTGATTTTGGTTGGCTAAAATATTTTTGCATGAGGTAAAAGAAGTTGTAATATTTCGCCGCAAAAGGGTGAAACAAAATGCCACAATAGCACCTTTTGTCGGTCTTTCAAGATCCGCTAAAAAACGCTTCACAAGGAGCTTAATTGGCACGTTTTGCTGTGTATCCATGCTTCCTCACACCGCGATTTGTAACAAGAGCATTTGTATCGGCAGAGGGGAGGTGGACAGCGGTACTTTCATTCATGAATTCTAAGATTACTGTATATACTATTAATAAAAGCAATATCAATTTCCCCTGTCAGTGACAACTTTTCAAAAGACTCATCAAGATGACTGCATATTCGACCGTTAACGCAAGCTGGAGCTGTCGTGCAGATTTCCGAAACGTCGCCATGCCTAGAACCACGTTCTTGAAGGAAGAAGATAAGGTGTTAGTGCAGCTCGCTCGCACCTACACAGAGCACGGTAGCAAAGTAGTTTGAAGTAAAGGTCAAGAAGATGCGACGCTGGAAACGAAGTCCCGTGCAACTCGCTCAGCGAATTGAATGTTCTAAAGGGAGCATTTGACAGGAATCTGACAACAATTCCACACTCATCTTTCTTACTGCAGTTGAGGTCGTCGTGGTCGTCGTAGCTCGCTGGTGTTATCGATTTGGCAGCCGCTCCAGCATCCAAATCTCAAGAGAATGCATTGAGCAAAGCAGCAAGATCAGCTAGTACGAATATACAGCTAAAAATACTGTCACCGGTAGTTACACGAAACGCGTTGGAATCGTAGAAAGTGACACCAAATCAGCAAAATGAGGTCCATCATAGTAAAGTGAAGGGGGCGGTGGCGATAGAAGCAAATGAGCGTAGCGAAATGACAGATATTTTGGGATCCATACCTTTGGCCACGATTCAGGCTTTGAGCTGGCACAGAATTCGACGCAACAATTTGATTCTCGAGAGGCCTGTCTACTATATCCGATCAGCAGCTGACACGATTTTAACTATTTTCCATCGAGATAAGATCACTTATCCGGCGGCGGCACCAGCGTTGAATGCTAGGGAGCTTCTTCCAACTGCTTTAGGGTTATATGTCCAACGATATACGCACTGACAACATCGGAAGGAACGCTGCCGCTTAGCCAGACTGCGTTTACGGGTGGGGACGCCACTGGCTTCTCGACGTCAGATTTCAACGCGTTGTGATTACGAGCTGCTTGGACACGCGCTCGATACTGTAAGCTGCTGCTGCCATTATGCAGTGATATTATTTACTTCTCTGTCCCACCAACGTATATGGAATAACAATATGAGCTTGATAAAAGTCTAATTACCCTTATTCAAAAGCTTGGTGAGTGTGCTATTTTATTTTTTGTGCCTTCATAACCGTGAACAGCAAGTAAATAACGCCGTAAATGTGGAGTCACGTTAGGAGGAGGGAATGCTGTGAGTTTTATGAATTTATAATTTTATTAGCAAAATTTTACAAAACTTGCAGTAAATGCTCATTCCGATATGGCGATCCTATATACATTAGCGCAATCTCGATCGACGTGTGTAGCAATGTTACCGGCCAGGTATTTACTACGTGTTGAGGAAGCTCACAATAGGACGACCGAGTCTTAGGTTTAAGGAAAAATCAACTCTGACATTTATTTTAGGACCAAGGCCATAGTCCTGGATAAATACACGTCATAGACCAATTGGGTAATAATGGGTTTGGCTTTCCATATATCATCCAGCACAATGACATCATTTCAAGACACGCTTGTCGTATGCTGAGGCACCTACTTATGTGATGAAGGGGCCCATTACATTACGCCCCCTCTTAAAGTTGCACTTACACAACATGAGCATGGACAAAGAACATTAGGGAAGACACCTGGAACGACGGCGGAGATGACAGCGACGGCGGCGACAATGCTCGCGGCACCAAGACAATGGATCTCAGCTGATGGGCGGTCACGCTCCGTGACGAGTGTGCGCAGCGACCTCTAACCTCAAGCGACAGCGTAAGCGAACGCCAGAACCGGTGTCAATGCTGGTGAACATCGACGTGGTCCGGCGAGGCTCTATTAGGGCAACGTTTCAAACATCACGTGGTCACCCCCGCGACCTCGGCTAGCGTTTTCGACGGGTAGTCCGAGTGCGTAACGCCGCTTGCTCTCGCGTAGTACGCGAGAGTTCAATTTCAACCAAGAGCACGTCGGCAGGTGCGCGTTCAGCAGCCGTTTTTATCCGGCGAGGACGCATCACGCGGAGCCAAGGAAATCCGCTGACGACGTGGAACATCCACCACGACCATGACGGTGAATCCACGGGAAACACGATGACGTTACATCAGCCGCTTGGGCCTTTGAACACCAACAACACGTGAGGATTCGCTCTGTTGACGCAGCGATGGGTTGCGAAGAGGGCAGAGCATTGCAGGCTTGAAAAACACTCTCAGCGCTGCGAGCGACGGGAAGATGAGAGACAGGCTTTGGCGGTTGGAAGCTTACGACTTGCTCACGTCTCGTCGACTCACTTACTTAATCTTTTGCTCGGTTCACTCAGCGAGTGGTTTAGTGGCACATCGGCGAGCTGACACGCCGACGGTCACTGATTCGAGCCCAGAGTCGACTCCAAATATCTTCCTTAGTTACTACGGCGAGCATTTCTGTGCACACGCAGCGGCGATTCACCTTTTCCACTCACGCATTGGGACGTGCGTGGCTTCTCGTACTCGCTCACCGCAGTTGGGACGTCCTTCAACAAGCAAATGCGTGGCTCTGAGGTATATTCCGTCGAGGAGAGAGCCAACCAACGCACGCGATAGTGTCGTTCCTCGTTCCGCGGGACATGGCCCTGTCGCGACCCCTCGGATTGTTGCGAGAACCACGGCTCTGGCGAAGGTCATGGTCGACGGTTCGCTCGACGTTTTAACGCTGAGCGTCCGAAGAGTGAATTAAAGGAGCTGGACCATCTTGCTGGAAAGTTGCCGCGCCACGCGAGGACGAAGCAGCGTCCGGGGTCCGACCGGATGGTACTTCTTTAAAGGTCCGACGTAGAACGACGGATGTAGCCGTAGTGTCGAAGGAGGGTCGAGCGCTTAGGCGTCACCAATAACCTTGGTTACCGTAAACGTCCCAATAAGGCGTCGAGCGAGTTTGCTCGCTTCGAGGTTGGTAACCGCAGCGTTTCTGACCCCATCTGTTAGCAGGAGCACTCGCGCACCTGTCGTAAACGTGGCCGTGCGCTCGCGGCCAGGCTTGTCCGCGTTCTTCTTCGGCTTGCCCACAGCGTCCCGCAGTGCGTCTTGAGCGTAGTGGGTGTCCGCTTGGCGTTGTAGAACGAAGTCGGAGACGGTTCCGAAGTCCATTGTTCGCGACGCTCGCGGCGCGTAGCTAGCCGAAGCAAGTGCGCTCGAATCAGCTCCGGGGTTATTCAGCTTACGGTTAGTCATTTGGATAGGATTGTGAGGTGTACTGCTCGGGGTTGTTCGTAACGCGCATGTTGTCCTGGGTTCCGGTTGGGCTTTACGACGGCACGGTTGCTGCCGGAGATGGCGTTGAAGATGGCGATGCTGTAGATGTTCATAGGAACACAAAAACCAGGAAAGCCTTTCCAGTCAACGAGGCGACGTGGTCACTAACCGATACGGATTTCGTAGTGCCAAAAAGACATCTCCGTCACCTTACCGTACGTGCCAGTAGCGGATCTGGTATTCGTTCCGCTGTATACGAAATTAGATCTTACGGTGACGCTCGAAAACGATGCCGTGCTGCCAGTCGACGTCGCCGGCTTGGAGGTGCTTGAAGTCGAAGTCGAAGTCTGAGTAGCTGTTTACGTGCTGCTGGTTAATGGGGCCTTGTTGGTGCTATTGGACAATGCAGTCACTGCTCTGGACTTGTGGTCTCCACGGTCTTCCGGGGTCGCGGTGGTAGTGGTCTGAGCTATGCTGGCAGGGTATTCAGTCGATGCCAGCTGTGCAGTAAAGGATTTAGTGGTTGCGCTGGAGCTGGATTCGATGGGACAGAAGAAGAAGGTCAGCTGGGACAGCGGTGCGTCTTGGTATCGTCCGGCGGGTGCAGGTGAGCGTCGGCAGTTCACTCTCGCAGAGGAGGGTGGCGCAGGAGCTGGAGGGGGACTTGGTCGAACTTATGTCGGGTGCGATGTTCATGACCATATTGCAACAGGACTTGTCTGTGATCTCCTCACAGGCCTCGTTATACGATAAAATGCGTTACCGGGCGGGGTGACGCTGGCGTCATACCAGGCGTGTCGACTCAAGATGTGAAACTCAACGAGAGTGGCCTCGGCACATGTTTCGTCACGTGGCATACCGTTATAGGCGCTGGTCAGATCACAACGTGGCGCTGCCGGCCGCTATGGCCTCAGGCTTGCTGTTGCCATACAGCCCGACCCCTTAGTACATGGCTTGTGCTCGGTGGGGGTTGCGGATCGAACGGAGGCTGATGATGAACGTTGGCCGTATTTGCACGGATTGGCAATCTAGTCAGATAATTTAACCAATCAGAAAATGAGAGACCAATTCTAGCCTATTGAGAATCCGTATCAACAGGGGCTACTAGAGCACGTGGAGAATTAAATATGGTGGCAAGATCCACATCACCCTTTAGGTCCCTGGATATCAGCAAGCAGACCATCCATTTCTAGGCTGTAGATGACAGTTCTTGAAAATTTGTCCGCAGCCTCCTTTAACAATTAAACATTCAGAAAATGTACGATAAAAGCGTTTCGAGACCGCTTACCTACAGCCCCGAACGTTTTTTTGTGCCTCGGTGGGTGATAACACACACTGATAGGCGGCTGCGAAGCCGAAGGCTCCTGATGCTCGCCACGGCGGCATCCAAAGGCCTTCCACTAAGGTACTCCAGCTTGAAGCGGACAGCCACTAGCAGCCAACACTGACTTGTTACACCTACTTCACACTCAATCATAGAATT